AAATTATTCCCCAGGAATAATGCTATATATAATGGTTACATTTTTAGTACTAATATTACTATACTTTGGGTATATCCCCGATTTTTAAAAAGGGCATTTGTGGATTGGGCTAGAGACCTAAACATCAAAAAAGTACTGCTTCTCTCAATGCCAGTTTCAAAAAAAACAAACCTCTAAAATCAACTTATAAGCTGTAAGCCAATTGTAGGTTGAGAGTTTCTATACAGTATGCGACCGAGCTTATGAGACCTAACATCTGTGGGAAAAATTAAAATGTCAATCATGAGGATATATCTAAATATTTAATTATATGGCATCCTGAAGGGAATATCTGGCCATTTTATCTTCCAGATTTAATCCAGATGGTATTTTTCACACAATCAGAAGCAGTGGATATTTAGAAAGAACTTTACCTCAATCATTATATAAGATTTTCTTGATGAAAATCTCAGTAATTTATAATCTGATTTATGCTTTCACAATTACAGTTGTCACTTAATAAAAAAAAAAAGCATTCTAGGCAATATACTAGAAAGTAAACCTGTCATATGACTGTATTCCAATTCTATAATATATGGGAGGTACATTTTACAGAGGAAAATATGGGGACACAGGTAAATGAAAATTATATATTAAAAAACTAAAAATTTTTCTTTTAACATATGAATATATAATTCTAAAAATAACAAATTAAAAATGTTAATACTTTACTTTATTCAAAATAATTCACAAAAGTTTTTAAAAACTGGAAATGAAAACAAAATAAACTATCATTTGAAACTGGCCAGTCACTTCTCAGCCAGATTTATTCCCTGTGGTCACTCTAAGAGCTGTACTTTCTAATGTTTCAGCATTCTGATAACAGTCTACCCAACTTTTAAAGATCAGCCTCCAGTAACCTAGCTTCTGATTTTAAAATTATGTTGAAAATTTGGGGGTTTTTACCTACTGAAAGTCTCTTCTTTTGACCTATTCCAAGCATCCCTGTCATCATAACTATGGTCATATCCTTTAATGGGAAGACAGAGCTTCAAATAAATCTAGAAGCTGCAAACATCTTTTCTTATTCTGTTTGGGATCACACTTAATACTTCTTAATATCATAGTGGTTAAGTAGAGCCAGAATGCCTGAGTTCAAGTTTGTACCATTTACTTCCTATGTGACTTTACACAAGAAAAGTCTCTGCACTTGAATTTTCATTTCTGTATAATAAAGAGGATTAGTGGGGCACCTGGGTGGCTCAGTGGGTTAAGCCTCTGCCTTCAGCTCAGGTCATGATCCCAGGGTCCTGGGATCACCCACATCGGGCTCTCTGCTCCACAGGGAGCCTGCCTCCACCTCTCTCTCTCTGCCTGCCTCTCTGCCTACTTGTGATCTCTGTCTGTCAAATAAATAAATAAAATCTTTAAAAAAAATAAAAAAAAATAAAGAGGATTAGTGATAGCTTTCTCAGAGGGTGGTTGTGAGAATATTTAATAAAAACACTGAAAACAATTTCCTAGCTGAAGTGGTTGCTAAAATAATAATAGTAAAAAAAATTATTTGGTTTATATAAATAAAACAATCATAATATAATTATTAAAATATAATATAAATACTTACAATAATGTTTTAATTTAATTTAAATTTAAAGAGTAATCACTTTAATAAAAGCTGTTATTGTTTTTTAATAATTCCCCAAACTATAGACTGTGACAAATTTTCATGATCCTCTTCATGATTTGCCTTAATTAATTTATTAAATATGAAACTGTTAAATGCATGTCTAAATGCCAGAGAGCCCTGATTCTGAACTATATATGTGATTCTTCCATTAGTTATATATTCAAGTTTTTTTTCTCTACACTTTAAAAAATCCTTGAGAGGCAGGGACTATGTCTGCTATCTGTTTTACACTGATTACATTCTAATCAATTCTAATCTCCTTATACACACTTAATGAGTAATAAATGAATTAATGAATGAGTTAGTGAGTAGATATATGACATTAAATAACAATAGAGATAGGTAAAATTCAATGTACAAGAACAGGTACTTTTCCCTTAAAGATAATATGATAGGGAAAAAAAAGAGATAATATGGTAGGGTTTGGCTTACACAGACCAGGGAGTCTCTGGTCACACACACTAGACCTTTAGCTCGACAGCCTGGGCTTGTAGTAAAGAACTGGTGGGAATTTATATTTAAAAAGCTCAAATAGGAAACAACCACTGAACAAGAATGGGTTAAAGATCTAGAGTATGAAGATACTTATAGTATATAACTGAAAAATTTAAGACTCTGCTGCTCTATAAAGTTCATCTTATCACTTTGGGAGTAACAAGGTCATAAGCTCTTATCTTAAAAAATACTCTGAAAAATTACTGAACTTAAAAAATAATCACTTAAAATGCATGCTTACTCTTCTCTGAAAGCTTTGTGAAAATAACAGGCATTGTGATTTTATGCAAAATCCACCTGAAGACTATTAGCAAATCTCAAATAATATAATATTCTGAAGTAAACAGAGTATCTTAACCTTATGTATTTACCCTAAAATGTACATGAGATGTCCTATCAACTTTAAGGAATTCAGTCTCTAAGGGATAGCACATTTCAAATAACGAATTACTTCTTTATAATTCCTCAAGGAAAAAAAATGTATGTTAGAATGAATAAATTTTATAGCTCTCCAAGATTTTACCAGTAATTTGGTCTACATTCATAGTATGTACACATATATCCCAATCTCCCCAGAATACCATTTCAAAATGCCAGATATAAATTCAAGAAAAAATATTTTTTCCATGCTTAATGAAGATTTTACAGATATACAGCCAGATATGCAAAAAGAACGTCGGCAGGTTATTATTCTGAGTTACCAAGAAATGTTACCGAAAGCATATCCTGCCATTGTGTTTTTTCTAGCTGTCTCACTTTTGTTACCATGCTGGAAATGAGAAGCATGAGTTCATGTTCACAGTTGCTCCGCAGTGTTAACAAGGAAACTTTAAAAGCCAAACAGCCAGGATTAGATAAGGTAATAATTTTCACTACTCCTATCTGAATATTCAGTAACCATGTATGCCTGGAAAGTTAAACTGTGGGATTTGGAGAAAAGTGAAATTGGAAATAGTTTAAACTGACACACGGATTGATTCTACTTAGAAAAACATCAGCGAGAAAGAAAAGACAGATGCTAGAATTCTCAAAGTGTCAGGCAATGGAGTTATTTTTTTGGAGTCGGTGTGTGTGTTTGTATATGAGGGAGATTTGGAAGCACTACCCTGGAGAAGGAATGGTGAAGGTTAAAAGGAGGAAGAAAGCAAAGAGAACTGCCAACTGATTCATTCCTTTCTCCAAGAGTCTGTACTGTGCCAGAAAAGGAAAAAGAGTGCATTAGACTGAATTCTATTCATGGTAAACAACTGGTCTGAGCCTGACAGCAAGAGGGAGGGGATTATAGTATTTACTTCGTGGAGGCATATTCATTCTTCTAGGTGAAGACAATACTTTTTATTCAGTGGAGGAAAAAAAAGTTATTTATATACTGTACCCTCAATATTCTCAGAAAGTCTACATAACCACACAAGCAAGCACATTATTTATGTCTTACATTAAAAACACCAACCCTAGCAGCAATTAAAAGTACATACATATACATAATGGTCCACATTACTCAACTGTTTAAGTTTTGGTTCATTTAAGAATCAAGAATTCTTTAGTTTAGATGTCTATCAATCTAATTCATGTCTTATACGTAAGTTTTGGACAACTTTATATTTATTCACAGACATACACCCTCTAAAGAGTGAAAAAAAAGCAAAACTTTATTTTATATGTGTGTGTGTGTGTGTGTGTGTGTACACACACACACACACACACACATTTTTTTAATGTTGCTATCGTTTTTGAAAATCTTTCTTGGAAGTTATGCAGTATTGACAAGTTGTCCTTTAGATTTTTAACCAGCACTTACCTTTCTCTAGTCTTATGAAATGTAGTATCTCAGTTGATGAGTACTGATAAACATACCAAGAGACCACAGTCCCACACAATGCCACACATTTAGAAACAGTAACAAATTCCTACTTCTCTTTTGAGTTGAGCATAAAAAATCAAATCCCAACAAAATCCAACAACCAGTGCAAAAACAGAAATGTGTAATGCTACTTAAAATATTGACATTATTGCATAACTTGATTAGAAGGAATGTTGAACCCGCATGAAATAAACCCAGTGTACACTTGAGCACCCTGCGTTTTTCAGTGTAATCTTGTCTTTATGATTCTATCACTTGTGCAGTCATAAATGATGCATAAATGGCATGTTTGTGCATATTGCACACTGACAATTTTTATGAATGAATACACAAAAATGCTCAGAATTCGAGAAAATGGATGGCAGCACACTATTTTGAAAACGGTCATTAAGCCTTGGAAGCAAATGATGAGGGAAATGGTCGGTGTCTTTTGGTGCCATTCAGGGCAATTGTATTCCCAAGTCCCCTAGCAGAGTGTGTTGGAAACAGCCATGAAGCTCTTTCCTTAGAGACTCGTTCTCCCTCTCAGGAACCTTGCTACAGAACGGAGAACGCGCACCGCTTCAAGGATAAAATGCATGGATGTCTCTGTGCTCCGAGCACTGTTCATACATCAGAGACATCACACTCCCTAAATCCGGTCCCACAAGTGTGTGCATGTGAGTGTGGCATTTACCAACAAATGAACAGAAGGCAACAAGAGCTCGTCTCCTAGAAATAACATTCCCCATCCCAGCCCAGGCAGGCTGCTCAGCACCTTCTCAGGGGCTAACACTGGGGTGCCTCCCCCACGGGGACGGAGCCGTACACGACCAACCCTCTCAGGGCTAAGTCAGCTTCAGCTTTGTGTGTAAGTCCACTCGGCGCCATATGGCAGTTTCCAATTCCTTTCGCAACTCAAGTCTGGCTAGGCTGCCCGCGATGATTCATTCTTACAAGGAAGACCCCTTCGGGGAGCAGCAAAGCCCCTTCACTTACCTAGCTCCCACAGACCCCGCTCAGCAGGCGGCACGGGCTCGGGCACCACAAAGGGTTGTGGGATTCCCCGCTCCCTCCGGGGCTCCTCTCCCTGCGACGGTCCCCTTCGCCAATGATCTGTCGCTGGAAATCCCCCTCCCCTCCACGGAGAGGAGGGTCTCCCCGGCTGGCTGGAGCTCCTGGCGTTTTTCCCCCTCTCCTCACATCCCTGACTCTGTTCACGGTCTCTAGCAGGAAAGCTCAAAGGAGAGGCGGCGGGAGGAAGCTAAGGTATCCTTAAAAAGAACAATAATCTTCATCGATCTTCGCCCCCTTCCCCACGCGGGCCCCCATCCCCCTGCCGCCGCCGCCGCCGCCCAGACTGGAGAGGGCTGGGATAGAAAAGGAAAAATCGAGCGGGGCTGAGCTCGCCGCGCGGAAGGAGCCGGGAAGGCGAGCCGCGCGGGCCGGAGAGTTGCCGCTAGCTCGGGGTGCCGGCGGAGAGGCGGCGGCGGTCGGCGGGGGCGGAGGGTGGTGGGTGCTTGGTGGGTGTGTGTCCGTGGCGGAGCCGGGGAGAGGCTGGGCGCGGGAGGCGAGGCAGGGCGCTCGGGGGCGCCGGGCCGGCGCGCACACCCGCCCGCGGCCACCCCGCCTCGCGCTCCGCCTCCTCCCGCGCCCCGCGCACCCGCGGGCTGGAGGGGCCGCCGCCGCCGCCGCCTCCTCCTCCTCCTCCTCCTCCTCCTCCTCCTCCTCCTCCTCCTCCTCCCAACCTCCTCCTCCCAGGCGCTCGCGGCTCTCGAGGTGGGCGGCGGGCCCGCGTGGCTGGGCTGAGCGGCCGGCCGGACACCGCTAGGGACGCCCCGGCTCGGCCTCGCGGGGCGGGAGCTGTGCGCTCGGCCTGGGACAGCGCCCCCGAGCCCAGGGCGCGGCCGGGGCGCAGGCGAGCGGGCGGGCGCCGCCCACACCTCGGCGGGCGCCTCCCTCTCCTCCCGCGCGCCCGCTGCTCCCTCGGGCCCCGGGCCTGGCTCCACACCCACCTGCTTCCCTCTGTGGCTCCCGCTCGGCGGGGCAGGAGGGTCCGCATTCGGCGGGCGCCACGCACTGGGCGGCGGGGAAAGCCGGGGACGCCCCGCGTTCGAGCGCTGTGGTGGCTTCGCGGGATTCCCTGGGCCCTGGTGCTTCCAGCTGCTGGGCTCTCCCCACGCCCGCCCTGACGCGATCCTGACACGGGGCCCGCTACTTGATCCCGGGAACCTAGGGTGAGGGGAGATCGCTCCTGAGTGATGGGGCCCAGAGTATTTTCCCGGAGGAGTCAGGGCTAACCCAGAGCGCAGATGGGATCTGACTTTCCTCCCAGCGCCTCCAGGTTCGTTCAGGGCCCCTAGCCCTCCCCCGTAATCCCTCTTTTCTGGGTTTGAGGGAAAAGCCGGGTGGGTTGGTGGCAGCCTTAACTCTTGCTTCCCACGGGGGCGCTATTCGTACTCTGGCTTGCTTTATTTTGCCCGCTCTCCCTGCGATCTGGAGAATTTGTGCCAAGTTCCTCCTTGGCGAGGCCGCCTGGTGGACACCCAGACCTTTCCCCACCTTCAGGGCGCGGTAAAGACAGGATGAACTTGAATACAAACATCACCGGGCTCTCCAGGTCCCTGAGCCGTCTGCTCCTTAACGGGCACAGTTAGAAGGGCTTTTAGGAAAACAAAGTAGCTTAAAACACCCTATAAAAAAGCATGTAGGCCATGATAGTATATTTAAAGCTGGGGCTCCCTTCTGAGTTTCTTTAGGCCAAGAAAGATGGGTATTGAAGAGAGTCAAAATGCACTCAGTTTTAAATAGATCTCATTTGGTCCTTGCGTCTGTTTCAGTGGCCCTGAGGCGTACTGGGAAGCACTATCATCTAGGGATCTCTAAACCTTGATTTCTCGCCCTTCCATAGGCCTTACCTTGTGCTGGTGTTTGGGGAAGGATTTTTTTTTTTTTTTTTTTTTTTTTTTAAATAGAATTTGGCCCTTCACACGCCATCACCCTCCCCCCAGGACCTGTCCTGGTCCGTTGCTCTTCTTGAGGCTTCTCTAGTATGAACACTAGAAAGAGAAAGAGGACTTCCAGATTGCTAGACTGTTATCACCACCCCTGACCTGTTTCCAAGCTTCAGCTCCAGATTTCCCAGACCATAGGCGCAGGATGTCCCTTCCTACGCCTATGGTCTTTCCACCTTCTCATACATTTCACATGCTTTTGGCAGATTGGTCTTCCCCAAGCACAGCCCTGACCATCTCATTTTCCTGATCGCAAAGTTTCCCTAATTCCGCATTCCCTATCAGTGTCTGCCCACTTGTGCCCTTGCATGTGGACATCTCTCCTTCTAGGACACCCCTTTCCCCTTCTCACATCCAAAATCATCCCAGCACTTCAGGTCCCACTTCAAACTCTGCCTCCTCCAACTCTTCCCCTTTGATTTATAGCACACGGTTGGAGCTATCTTTTTAAAGACATATCACCTTCCTGAAGAGTATATGTACTCCCCCTGTTCAGGTCTTACTGTTTATTTTTTAATTTTTTTTAAAAGATTTTCTGTATTTATTTGCCAGAGAGAGAGAGGGCACAAGCAGGGGGAGCAGCAGGCAGAGTGAGAAGGAGAAGCCCCGATGTTGGACTTGATCCCAGGACCCTGGAATCATGACCTGAGCCGAAGGCAGATGCTTAACCAACTGAGCCATCCAGGTGTCCCTGGTCTTTCTGTTTAAGTAAGTTTCTCCAGGGTAGATTCCATATCCCTTTGTTTGCATTCCTTACATTTAACCCAAAGCCACATATGTAAGAGATACCTATTTATCACTGAACATTTGTTTTGCAACTTCTCTCAGGCACTCTTTGTCAATAGAATTTATAAAATATTTTAAATTCACAAAAATCACTTAAGATTCACTCCAGGTGTGCCTAAATTTAAGTGGTATACTCTTTCATAAATTTTAGAGATAGTGAAAAATCCCCTTACTTTCTGGCCTTGCATCAACATTATGGTCATTGCAGTAAGAATTTACTAATTTGTTAATTTTTTTTTACTTTAAATTTCCATTAGAGTTTAGAAACCCAAATCCATTTTCCTATTAAATGATCATTTGTCAAGAGATCAAATTATCTATTGGCTAAAAGACATTGCTACTGTCTCCATTTTGTGGAAGTAGGGCGCTAGGAGTAGCATATCCATCATGCCTGAATTGTGTCTACAAGCATGCAATGCTATGGAAAAACAGTCTTTGGAAATAAAATCTAATTCTGCTTAATAAATTACTCGTGGCCCAAATAGGTTATGATGGAGAATCACCCGTAGTATACAGATTGTTTGGAATAGCTGAGTTCTCCATATGCACAGCTTGAGTTCTGGATGGCTGCAACGACTCTTGTGTTGATTATCATCACGTGGTTCTACTGCCTTAGAATATACAGTTTTGTATTTTTTTCAGTTGTTCTCCAAAGCAAAAATGAAAATGATCTTGCTGAAAAATCAGACATGTTTTCACATTACTCCTTAAGCCATTTTTTTACATTTATTGATATTTATGGAAATATTTCTTTTGTTTATATTTTAATTTATCAGGTTTACCTTGAGTTTTGATGGAATTATATTACTAAGAAAGGGGATAAATGTTTTGTATGTCAAAATGCTTTCCTCATAATGCTTGGCAAAATAAATAACTTTAATATAAGTTTAACTTGCAATAGTTTTACGCACATCAGCTGATAAAATTTAGATGAAGTGTTTCCTCATACATCACAAGCATAATAGATTTTTGGTATTTTGTTGTTGTTGTTGAATAAAGCATTTGAAAATGTTTACTATGACCTAAGTAACATCATTACTGACTACACTTTAATGTTTCAAGTTGGAGTTTCATTGGTGAATTGACTTGCAGAGAGAGCCTGTATAGATTAGAATAAAGTAGTAAAGGCTCAAGGATGAACGTATTTTAAAATGTTAAAAGCATAAGGCTAAGAATTTATGGTTTGGGGGACTGAACAATTAAAGTTGGATTTAAGTTTTTGTAGAAGGCCAAATGGAAAAAAGTGTATGACGTATTGAGTAAAACCAAAATAAAAAAAAAAGTTCTAAAGGAACAATATTTTAAAATGATGCCAAACCCCATTAAAGGGGAAAATTTACAAACATTTATGTAAATGTGGGGTGTGTGTGTGTGTGTGTGTGTGTGTGTGTGTGTTTTCTGGGAGGATATACATTAACAAGCTAAAGAAATTACCTTGAAGAGTTTGAGAGGCAGGTTTTATTTTATTTGTTATAACCTGATTATACCAAAAGATAGATGAATAGTAATCTTATTTAAGCATCAGCAACATGAGGATACTACATTTTTAATCAGAAATCAAATAAATTGAAACTATACTTTTTAAAAATAAGGCCTAATACTACTGTGGTACTTATCATACAAGAAAGCAACTACTGAGGAATAACTGGAATTTACCACATTCTTAGACCTGATATGCTTTCTTCTGCCCTTCTAAAGGAGAATGTAGGAACGCTGGGATGGTTTAGAGCAACTCAGAATCTTAGCAGCCACTGAAATCCCACACTTGCACATTGCAGTAAAGGCTTGAAAAATAAATGAGCTGTCTGTGTGTTCTTCATTGAGGAGATAAGTACTATCTCATTGATTCTTTTGAATTAGTTGAGACAGATTTGGCTGTCCTTTGAAGATTCAAAGTGAGAGATAAGCTCTAGACTGACTGAATTTGTATTTTTTTTAACAGTTCTTGTACTGAGCCTGAACTTTTTGAAAGATGCCAGATGCTTAAACACAACATTTCTCTGCCATATAGTAGCATGAATGTAAGCACTGTGTTGCATCCATCCTTAGTGATACTTCCAAACATTATGAGTCTAGAACTTAGTTTCTTTGTGGGAATCTAAGAGCCTTAGGAGGAGGGGTTTCTGAGACCAATGAACTGCAAATTTCAAAAATATGCTACATAAGATCTGAAATGTAACTGTTATTCTGGGACATGATGAAACAAGAATTGGAGTCCTAGTTAGATCTTTGTCCTATGTCTGTTACGAACTTGTGCTGTGTAATAATAACAAATAAGTTTTACCAAGACATTTACTACATGGCAGGCACTGGGCTAAATTCTTTACAGGTATATGCTCATTTACACTTTATAATAGTTCTTTGAGGTAGGTCCCATCCTTATTATTCTATTTAATAAAGGAAGTAAGTGAACTAGAGAGAATTTAAATTATTTGCCTAAGCTCACACTGTCAGAACTGGAATTTGACTGAGGCAGTGTAACCTTAAAATTTTAGACTATTTTCCCTCTACCTCACCCCAAATTGATACTACCTTTCTGCCTGTTTCACTAGGTTGTCTCGGGTTCATGTGGGAAAATATCGTATAAAATATTATTTTTTAATTTTCAGGATGGAAATCTGGTTAAGATAAATGTGGGAGCTGCCAACCACCATCTACCTAAAGAAAAGAAAAGGAAAGAGAAGAAAAATGTGTTCCTGGTCCTAAAGGGGGATGGAGGTAGGATATACACCTTCTGTTTTCCCAGTAGATAGATTGATGCTGCTCCATCCACACCACTCACTAGCTGTCTGAATAATGTTTGTCTGAGATTTGACCTGACAGGGCTGGGTATGTCTGGAATGAAGCATGTGGCCATGGACTAGGATAAAGGCTTTCGGGCTTACACAGGGAAGGTACCTGTGTGAATTGCAATCCACCCAAAAGGAGTAAATGGCTCCACGCTGTGAACATAACACCAGCGTGGCAGATCAGAAAGCTTCTGGGGCTCTTAGTATAATCTAGGTTTGGGATAAGTAAGAAATGGAATAATCTCCAGTAGTAGAGGAAGAATAACCAGTCACACCGGAAAAGAGCCCTCTTTGCATTTACGAGGGCATTATTCTCAGCCCCAGACTTCACATCATTATAAGCAAAAAGTGGATATAATGATGTAAGATGTCTCTCATGGTGAGGCAAGAATCTTGACTGTCAGAAGCCAAGATCACAACCACAACAAGCAAAATTAAATGCGTTACCCACAGTCTTTTCTGAGAAAATTTCTGTGTAGATCTAAGACTCAACAAAGCAATTGGATTTAAATTGTGGTAGATATTCTAACAGTACCTTTGTTCCCTTCTGAGAAGAAAGTCTGAGCTGACAGTACATTCAAAGGAGACATACTTCCAATAGGGCCATGATTTCTCAGAATGACAAAAAAGTATGCTGCCGTATTTCTTGGTCTTCCCAGTAATTGGCACTCTTGAACCTTTAAAACCTTTGCAGTATCAAGCAGAAATATTAATCATTCCTAGGATCTGTAGCCTTAAAAGTATCATTTCTTACTACTAATTAAGGCCATGCTTTACTGTTTTGTTCTAAATAAAATATATCATGGTAATAAATGTAAAATCAGAGCTTTTTAAAAGAACCCTAACATTGTATATTCACTAAAATTATATCAAGAATTTAACATAGTAATTACTGAAAAACATTAAGTATTAAAAATAAATAGATATAACTAGTGAAAATTAATAGACACTTATGAGAAGGAATACAAACTCAAATATAAGCATATTTTCATTAAAATATATTATAGAAATGGAAGAATGATCTTTTTTCAATAACTCTAACCTTTAGGTTGCTTAATTACCAGCAAATTGTCAGTATATGGAATTGAATATACATGCTAATTATGACACATATTCATTATCCTAGTTCATATATATTATTATGCCAAATATATAATTTGAAGTTAAATATTGCCAGTGTGTATTTTACATGTTTGGTTCTATTTATTAATCTAGTCCTTTTCAATGAAAAAAAATGAAGACTTGTTTCAACAAAGACGGTATGTTTTGGAACATAAGTACAAGTGATTTTGACTGGAATTTAAAATTCAGAAACAAAAATTTTGAAACAACAACTTCTTATACCCCCAGCCACCACGTCTACTCTGTGCATAACTAAACCAGACCCAAGTAGGTTTTAGCATTTATCGTATTTCATATTTGATTTAGCTAATCACATTGCTCACAGTGATAGTCACACGTGGGAGAAAAGATGGAAATTCAAACATGGAAATTCAGCCTGTTAAATCAGTCTAACTGGCACAAAAGCAATTTAATTGGACTTTCTGCTCCTGCTATCAAATAAGCCCCCCACTGCCCTAGCTGTTGCTGAGTTCACCTGGCACTGCGTTGACAGACATGTTGGCATCATTAAGGAAGAAAATCCTCATGAACTTTGAGTTAGTCGTGACTCATTCCATCAAATCCCTTTCCCCCACACAAGAAAGTGAGGGCAAAGAAAACCTCTCCCAAGAACAGCAACAAAAACCAAAACTGCACGTCTTCTGTGGTTAATGCTGATTGGAGTAGGGGGATAAAATCTCACCTACATTAGAGAACCTCTCCTGATTCCTCTTTCAGTACTTGTATTTCCCTCCAAAATTAGTCCCTGATATTAGCTGTGGGTGTGCCTCACTGGTACCGGGTGGGGTTAGCTAGTTAGAGTACACACAAAGAGGAGTGTGGCCTTCTCTTAGACTGTTTTGGAAATTACCAAATGCAATCATTATGACAACTGCCTTTGATAACAAGAGACACACAAAAAATCTAGCATAAGGCCCATCATATTCTCTTTACAGATTTCATTACTTTAAACATTTCCAATTCCAATATTCCCAGGAGAAAGCTTGAAAGTTCATCATTTTGCACAAAATTCATTTGAAATTTTGAAGGGCACCCTATAGGATATCATGAAATAATTGAAAAGAGCATGTTTCTATCTACTACGTAAAATGAAATTTACCTATTGTGAATGACAAGCTCAAGAGAGCTTGTTCCCGGGCATAAGACTTTCAATATGGTGTAAGGTTATTGGCTTATGTAATTCTCTATGTTGCCTATGGCAATTGCCAATAATTGTAGAACTAGAGATTAACACACACACACACACACACACACACACACACACTTAAAAAAGCCAAGTGGATAAATTGAATTAGCTGAACTGTGAATGCTGAGGAAGGAAGACACACTTTGCTATCTCTTTACAAACTCTCCAGTTTACTCCCTAATGCATGAGATTTGAGTGCCCGTAGACAGTATTATTGTTTGGCTTGCAGAACCATGAAGTACTGCTGGCATCCCTATTTGATAAATATGCCTGTTGACATTTAAATGACTCTGTTAAGATTTGACCTAGAAAATTACAGTCCACTTTGTACACTTTATTACCAGAAGAATGTGGCCAGATGAGGGAATTTGGAAAAGAGTAACACAAATGATTAAAGAGGAAAATAGGAAGAGGAACATTTAAATGGTACTACTAGAGTGAACGATGAGGAAACAGAGAAATCCTGTGTCTTAAGAATGATCTTATAAGTACGAATGGAGGTAATGCTGAGATAATGATCAGTGACTTAAGATAAATATAACTAAAGAGTGAGGTTAAAGATAACTATACTATTTTTAAAATAAAATAAAAAAAGAAGTGGTCACCAATATAAAAAAATAAAATCTCATTTTACAACATAGGGAAAGTTCTTCTCAAAGTATTTAGTAAAGCCCCTCTTTAAAACAAAAAAGTGAAACAAAACAAAAAAGATACTTAGACTTAAAGGATGTAACGTGCTCATGATAAAGAGTTACTTTTCTCACACTCTTAGGAAAATAAAAGTACATTAAAGCTTTTTTTCCTAATAAAACTCACTAAGGCAATGGGCACCTAAGAACCGTGAGACTTTCTTTGATCATTTATTTATTTTTTATTTCTGTAAAGAAGAGTGAGCAGGGGCAGAGGGAGAGGGAGAGGGAGAGAGAGAATCTTTTTTTTTTTTTTTTTTTAAGATTTTATTTATTTGTCAGAGAGAGAGAGCAAGAGTGAGCACAGGCAGATAGAATGGCAGGCAGAGGCAGAGGGAGAAGCAGGCTCCCTGCTGAGCAAGGAGCCTGATGTGGGACTCGATCCCAGGACGCTGGGATCATGACCTGAGCCGAAGGCAGCCGCTCAACCAACTGAGCCACCCAGGCGTCCCGAGAGAGAGAATCTTAAGTAGGCTCCATGCCCAGCATCTAGCCAGCCTCAGCCGGGCTCCATCTCACTACCCAGAGATCATGACCTGAACTGAAATCAAGAGTTGGACACTTAATCAGCTGAGCCACCCAGGTGCCCCTCTTTGATCATTTAAATAACAAGGCACGTTATATATTTTGGAGACCAATTTTATGTTGAAAATATGTGTTCTATCAAGTAATAAACATTGACTTTATTAAGTATTTGGACTGCCTGTTCCATTGCTATATTCCAAAATTATTTATGGTTTAGAGAATTAAAATTCTAGAAGTCTCCTGTGTAAATGAAATCTTATTTGACTATCTCAGAGTAAATGATTTCTGTACAAAGTCATTCATTTTTTTCTTAAGAAATGTGTGGATTTCACAAAGTTTTCAGCGTTCTAATTGGATATCCCTTCTTTATTTCCTTCACACTGTTGCACTTTTTGAATAATTTTATATTCGTCACAGCTAGAGGAACAGTTTTAGTAGCTAAAAATGTGTAATAATTTCCACCACAAGTGGGGTTACCCCTTAGAAAGTTGCATGGAAATGATGAAATGAGGAAAGCCAGAATCAAAGTTGACCACATCCTCCTTCCCTATGCTTCCACCTTTTCCTCCCGCCATGACCAGTGGTATCCCTAAGACTTTCGTCCATATGCAGATGACTCCTAAAGCTACATTTTCTAATCTGTTATCATTGCAATTAGTGTTGCATTTCCAACTGTGCATTGGATTTTCTCACTTAGATATTCTGCCATTATTTCAAATTAATTCATCTGAAATAGTTCTTCCCCTGATCACCGTGCCTGACCACTGTTCTTTCCACCGTCTGCATCAGAGCTTTGGCAGCCATCTTGGACTCGTGGCTTGCTCCCTCCCACATTCAGCTACTTTACCAAGTACTATGAATTTTCTTTCATAATGACTTCTCACCCAACCTTGAATGAACACACACACACACACACACACACACACATACAGCCTCACGCTCTGCCCCATTTCCACAGTTCTCTCCAGTATGAATATTTTCCCACTCTCACCTTCCCTAAACACTACTATCAACCTGGGTTCAAAAATCTCTCCCTGCTGCCTGTGAAATAAATGTCCAGTCCCTTAGGCTGAGGTTCAAACCTTTCCATGATTTGACTCTACTTCATGTTGCCCCCTCATTCCCCACTCTCATTCCTTTAGTGACTTTCTCTGAGAAATTCGGCCTTGCCCAGTTCACTCTTCCAACCACACCATGTTCTTATCTTGAAATACCCTCTGTCCTTCTCCATCTTACTTAAATCCCACTTACTCCCTGAAGTAACTTTCTTGACTACTGTAAGCAGGAGAGCTTTTGTTCTCTCCTAAACTATACCACATTATCTGCTACTCTTTTTTCCTAGAAAATGGTAGCATTTAGAATAGGCATACTTTCATCTATCATATATTACACTGGATTTCTAATGTAATATGTGTATTAAATGCTATTTCACAATTACTTTTCCAAAGAGAGTTTCAGAGGACATCTGTTTCTCTAATTAGATGATAAGCAACTTGAGAGAAAGTTGGTAAAGAAAAAATTGAGAATCACTAGCTTTGAAATTACAATAATCTATAAAGTTCAAAACAATCCCAGGACATCGTCATGAGAATGGGGAAGTTACCTAGCTTCCCTAAGCTTCAGGTTTCTTGTTTGCAAAAAGGAAGAGAATATAACTATCTTGAAAGTATATTAAAGGTGAATTAAGATAATATTACGTAAAGATGGCAACCACAGAAGTAATGTAAGTTACTCTCAGTAAATGTAAGTTTTTCTTTTCCCTTTGTGTTCTCTAAGTAGCTTACTCACAGTGGGGACTTGGTCAAAATTTTTGTAACAATTTTAAATTTTTAACATTTCTTAGGAAAAAAGTTGCTAGACCAAAAGTGCATGCAAGATGATAGAGAGTAATAAGGTTGACAATGTCAGCTGGTGCAACCCTGAGGAGAGTGAGGATTGTCAGGCTATGGGCTGTTTTTCTCACTTAATCTGAATGAGACGCTGAAACACTTGACCTGAGAGTCCTGTGAACTATTGCTCTCTTTTTAACCTGCTCCCCTAGTAATATGTGGGTAAGAACCACAGGGAAGAAGAGGTGCTAGATATTTGTAAAAGCATGCACTTGGTTTCAGAATGCTGGGTTGAATTTCTGGCCTTGACAGTCAATAGTTATGTGACCTTAGGCAAATCCCTTTACCTTTCTGAGCTTCTGTTTCCTTACCTGTAAAATAAGACTAATAATTTTCTTCTCATGGAATTTCTTTGAAGATCAAATGTGATTAAATATATAAAATAGAATTCATAAGACATGGGGCGCCTCGGTGGCTCAGTGGGTTAAGCCTCTGCCTTCGGCTCAGGTCATGATCTCAGGGTCCTGGGATTGAGCTCCGCATCGGGCTCTCTGCTCAGCGGGAAGCCTGCTTCCCCCTCTCTCTCTGCCTGCCTCTCTGCCTACTTGTGATCTCTCTCTCTCTCTGTCAAATAAATAAATAAAATATTTTGAAAAAGATATGAAGTGCCACATGAATATAAAATGTTAAAATATGTGTCCTGTTTCTTAGATGACAGTATTCTTCAGATTTGGTGAGATACACTATATGGTTTACAAGTCTCCACACACACACAAAATAAGATGCAGGTCTATGTTTATGGTAGGATGGGAGTTTAACAACTAAGTAATGGTGGGGTGAATTCCCATTTCCAAGGAGGGCTATAGGTACAAAGAAAATAACAGTACCAAATGCAGTGAACCCTGTAGGATGGGTGCATTTAACTGCTAGTTGTCCCTTTTTCTTTCTTTGGTCTCAGTGCTGCCAGATTTCAAAAGCAGGTGGAAATGCCATAAAACAAAATAATGTAATTTGACTGCTTACTAAATGTATAAGACAACATTGACCACTGGAAAAAAGTAATAGCATTACATCAAATGAAACTAAATTCAGACAGCAGAAAATTCAATAGACTGTTGCAGAACAAAAGCATGCATTGTGCGTGGAGCCTGAAGGACCAACAGGGTAATGGTATTGTGGAAGCCCCCAGGTGGAGGCATTGCTGTGTTTCTGTATGCAGAAATGGGAATATACCCTGTGAGATGCAAAGGTAATTAGGCCCTAAACCTTATATGGCTTTATGGAGCAAAGATAATTCAATTCAAATTCAGAAATCAACAATCTGAAAATACCCACAAATTATAAACAGAATTAAGGAATAAGTCATTATCAGTAATATTATGTTTCTTGGTATCATTTAGCAGCATTCATCATTGACTTTCTGGTTGCAGAAAATAAGATTATGTTTCTTTGGTAACAATAAGTAATACAAAAACAGTATTACATAAATAAATCAGCTTATAAATTTCTGGATTGGAATGTCGATTAAGTATACAAGATACTTAGAAGACAACTCAGCTAAGTTAATATCACTAGCCTTTTACTGAAAATGAACTCAGAGCATAAGGACATGAAAAAAGTTTACTCAAAAGTCTAGCTTTGATTATATAGTTTAATTATTTCTGGCTTGTATTTAAGCCTTCAGGCTTGACAGTCTTCCCATTTAAGGTAAAAAAAAAGAAAAATCAAAATACATATTACTTTTAATTAAATTTCTGGTATCAAAAGATATTACACAGTTTCCATTGATAAAATCAGCCCCAACAGTGCTTTTGTCTTTTCAGTCAATGATTAGTTTCATGGTGTTTCACGCTATTTTTTTTTATATTAGGATATATAGTGCTTGATTAGGCAGTAGGATTTCACTATTTCTAAGTTACAACAGCATAAAAAGAAACAAGTACCCATACAGGATTCAAACTCTTTGTTGGAATATGTATGGAAAATCTTTTCTTAATATGATATGCTTGGTTACTTAGTTGCAGAACTCTGAAGTTTGTGAGAATGAGTTGTTTTTATATTTATTTTTTTTTAAGATTTTATTTATTTATTTGAAAGACAGAGATCACAAGTAGGCAGCAGAGAGGCAGGCAGAGAGAAAGGAAGGGAAGCAGGCTCCCTGATCCTGGGATCATGACCTGAGCCGAAGGCAGAGGCTTTAACCCACTGAGCCACCCAGGTGCCCCAAATGAGTTGTTTTTAAATACCAAAACCAATCTTTGGATTTCTTAACAGATCAGATGCTTATAACTTACGTTTGAAGCTTTATCTGTAATTTAAAACATCAACAAGGCACCCGGGTGGCTCAGTCCTTAAGCATCCCAAGGTCCTGGAATCCAGGGGCTCCCTGCTCAGCGGGAAGCCTGCTTCTCCCTCTCCCTCTCCCCCTGCTTGTGTTCCCTCTCTCACTGTCTTTCTGTCAAATAAATAAAATCTTAAAAAAAAAAATAAAGTGAAACATCAGGAAAAAGGCCATCTTGAAATTCTTAGGTCTTCAATAGGTATGTCTTATTTTAAGAGCACATGCTAAATTTCTAAGAACTTTTGAGAGAAATGGAACAAGACTCAGGTTGTCATTAGAATTCTTACTGGCAAAAAGTCTTCAGATTTCTGAATAAAAACGATCTTAAACCTAGAATTCTCTACTTGGCTAAATTACCAATAAAATCTGAGGGAAAGTTAAAAAGATTTTTAGATTTTTAAGAAGTCAAAATATTTTCTTTTCATTTATTATTTTAAAATATTCTAAGTAGCTTACTTTATTTTTTCCATATAATTGTAATTGTTTATTATGGTAAAATAAACATAATATGCAATTTATGATTTTAACCATTTTTTTAAAAGATTTTATTTATTTATTTGACAGAGAGAGAATACAAGCAGGCAGAGCAGCAGGCAGAGGGAGAGAGAGAAGCAGGATCCCCACGGAGCAGGGAGCCCAATGTGGAGTCAATCCCAGGACCCTGGGATCATGACCTGAGCTGAAGGCAACTGCTTAACTGACTGAGCCACCCAAGTGCCCCTGATTTTAACAATTTTTAAGTATATAGTTAAGTGGCATTAAGTACATTCAGTTGTTCGCAACCATCACTATTATTCATCTCCAGAACTTTTTCATCATCCCAAACTGAAACTCTATAACATTAAGCAGCAAATACACATTGCTCCCTTCCCTCAGACCCTGATAACTACTATTCAACTTTCTACCTTTATGAATTAGACTATTCCAGGTACCTGATAGAGGAATCATACAATATTTGACCTTTGTATTTGGTTTATGTCACTTGTTTTTAAGGCCCATCCCTGTTGTAGCATGTATCAAAATGTCATCTCTTCAAAAAAGAAAAAAAATGTCGTCTCTTCAATGGCTGAATAATGTTCCATTGTATGTATATATCACATTTTGTTTATCCATTCATCTGTCAATGGAAGTTTGGATTATTTCTACCTTTTGGCTATTGTGAATAATACTGCTGTGAACATTGGTGTACAAATATCTGTTTGAGTCCCTGATTTAAATTCTTTTGAATAATATCCAGAAGTGGAATTTCTGGTATATGTTTAATTTTATTAAGGAGCTGTCATACTGTTTTGCACAGCAGCTGCACTATTTTACATTCCCACCAGCAACGCACAAGCATTCCAGTTTCTCTATAACCTCACCAACACGTGTTACTTTTGGATTTGTTTGTTTATAATAACCATCCTAGGGTATGAAGTAGTATCACATTATGGTTTTCATTTTCATTAATGCTTAGTGATGTTAAGCATCTTTTCCTGTGTTTATTGAGCATTTATGTATTTTCTTTAAAGAACTGCCTATTCAAATTCTTTGCCTATTTTTTCTCCAGTTTGGAATATAAGGTTTTATTGTAACTCTTTGGTTTTGTCTATGTTTTTTTTTCTTTTGCCTATTTTTTAATTGGGTTGTTTTTGTTGTTGAGTTGTAGGAGTTTCTTATATATTATGGATATTAATAGCTTATCAGATGGTTTGTAAATATTTTCTCCAATTGTGTGGGTTGCCTTCTCAATCTGTTGATCAGGCTCTTTGATATTCTAAAGCTTTTGATTTTGATGATGTCTGTTAATTTTTTTGCCTATGTTTTTGATGTCTTTCCAAGTTCAATGTGATGAAGATTTCCTTATATGTCTACTTCTAAGAATTTAATAGTTTTTTTTTTTTTTAAAGATTTTATTTATTTACCTGACAGAGAGAAATCACAAGTAGGCAGAGAGGCAGGCAGAGAGAGAGGAGGAAGCAGGCTCCCTGCTGAGCAGAAAGCCCGATGTGGGGCTTGAACCCAGGACCTGGGATCATGACCCGAGCCGAAGGCAGCGGCCCAACCCACTGAGCCACCCAGGCGCCCCAGAATTTAATAGTTTTAGCTCTTATGTTTAGGCCTTTGATTCATTTTGATCCAGTAATTTTTGCATGTAATATAAGGTAAGGATCCAACTTCATTTTTAGCCTGGAATATCCAGTTTTCCTAGCACTATTGGTTAAAAAGACTATCCTTTTTCCATTGATCTTGACACCCTTGTTAAAAATAATTTGACCATGTATGTGAGGGTTTGTTTGGGGCTCTCTCTTCTATCCCATTGGTCTGTGTCTGTTTTTATAATGCTCACCAATTTTTAAAGTGATTTGTAGAAGTGTTCCAACTAAACCAAGAAAAAAGACAAGGTAGTCTTTAGGAGATAGAAGTGCCAGACCAGAAGATCAATGGTATGTAATCCCTAAATCACAGTTTTACTGAGACATAAAGAGTAACTAGTCCACATATGAGCAAGAGAACAAGGTTTCCCAATCCAGACTTGGAAAGAGAAGGAGATTTAATTGATTAAAGAGAATGAGAGTTTTGATAAGCTTGGCAATTTGGTAAAGACATGTGGTGGAACAGAAAAAGGAGAATCCATTTGAACCTGACTAGAGGAATGTTTCCTTTGAATGGCACGGTGCTCATGGCATTGGATCTGTATAAAAAATATAATCCAGTCATACAAGTTGCTCTACAGGAAACAAAATTTACATACTCATAATACTGTAAATTTTAAATTGTTCATTGAACTTTCAATTACAAAAATTAACTCATGGACAAATCAGAGACTTAATTGTACTATAAGAAAGAATGTAAAGGTTATCCATCTTTATAACATAAAAGATATGAAATAAGGAGATGGGTTAGAGTTGAAGAGATGGATAGAAAACTGGTATATTGGTGTCTTGATCATTTATAGTGGAGGTCAAGAGATTGATGGCTGTGGTTGTTGGGTTAGGAAGTGGAGATTTAATAAGTTGTTTAAAATTGCAGAGGCATCCAGTAGAAGAAGTGTTGATAGTGATAAATGATGGGGAGGTAAGGAAAAGGGGAAGATGAGGTAGGGAGATATAGGTGAGATAAACCCTCATCTATCAGTAGGATGTCAGTAGACACTGTCTAAAACTATTATGAAAACAAACTCTAATGAGCGATGAGCAGTAGTGAGCAAGTTAAGAGATTGTTGAGGCATCACAAAGGAACTAGAAGCAAACATTTTTTAAGGGTTGTGTCTAAAGAGCAAACTGGTGGGTTGGAAAGATACAGCAGCAGATTCCTCAGTCTATTTGACTTTGCAACCACAGGCATATTTTGTTTTGACATTGTAAAGTGAAATACAAAGTGCAATGACAAAAAGAAATTGTGAAATCAGATTAGAATTCATAAATCAGAATAATTTGGGGTACTGATTTGATTACAAAATATTACTCAATTTACTAGGGATTCAGTGATGGACATGTTTTAAATAGTGAGGGTGCCATCTGCATTTCATCATTAGTCCTGGATCATAAACTGCTTGATAAAGATGGTCTTTTTTTTTTTTTTTAAAGATTTTATTTATTTAGTTGACAGAGAGAGATCACAAGCAGGCAGAGAGGCAGGCAGAGAGAGAGGAGGAAGCAGGCTCCCTGCTGAGCAGAGAGCCAGATGTGGGGCTCGATCCCAGGACCCTGGGATCATGACCTGAGCCGAAGGCAGAGGCTTAACCCACTGAGCCACCCAGGTGCCCCAATAAAGAAGGTCTTCAAGCTAGAAAATGAGAGAAGTAGAGCTATTAAATATTCATCTTAAAGTGTGTCTGAAATGAAAATGTAAATCATTTGCTTAAATGTTTTTCTTGAAAAATTCAATTCATAAATAACTGATTTATAAAGTGAAGGCAATTAAAAATGCTGATATTATGTCTGTGTCTATAAACAGCAAAACTTCACTAATCCAGATCTCAAATATCTGACCCCTTAATCTTCCTTGGAAAACACACAAGAATCAGGATGTAAATTACAAACTTTTTAAAAGATAAAACCTCCTTAGTATCCCAAATCTATGAAGAACTTTATTAAAAATGGGAAGAAGACCGTAGGAATAGACAATTTTCCAATGGAGACATACAAATGGCCAACAGACACATGAAAAGTTCCTCAACATCACTCATCATCAGGGAAATACAAAACAAAACCATAATGAGATATCACCTCATACTTGTCAGAACATCTAAAGTCAACAACACAAGAAACAACAGGTGTTGGTAAGGATGTGGTGAAAGGGGAACCCTCTTGTACTCTCTTGCACTGTTGGTGGGAATGCAAACTGGTGCAGCCACTCTGGAAAACAGTCTGGAGGTTCCTCAAAAAGTTAAAAATAGAACTACCCTAAGATCCAGCAATCACACTACTGGGTATTTACCCAAAGAATACAAAAATACTAACTCAAAGAGATACATGCACCCCAATGTTTATAGCAGCATTAACTACAATAGCCAAATTATGGAAACATATATATATATATATATATATATATATATATATATATATATATATAATGAAATATTAGTCAGCCATAAAAAGGAATGGAATCTTACCATTTGCAACAACATGAATGGAGCTAGAGAGCATTATGCTAAACGAAATAAGTTAGTCAGAGAAAGACAAATACCATATGATTTCACTCATATGAGGAATTTAAGAAACAAAACAAAAAAATGAGCAAAGGGGACAATAAAGAGAAAGAGGCAAACAAAGAAACAGACTCTTAACTATAGAGAACAAAGTGATGGTTACCAGAAGGCAGGTGGGGGGGTGGGGATTAAGAAGTGAATGTATGTGGTGAACACTGGGTGATGTATGGAAGTGTTGAATCACTGTATTATGCATCTGAAACTAATATTACACTGTATATTAACTAACTGGAATTTAAGTAAAAACTTTTGAACTTCCACATCTCAGTATTTACCAAGACAGCTCCTCCTGCTCCTCCTGTTGGATATATTAATAGATACTGACATCAGTATGTACACACAATCCCAAATTTGGGTGATAAGTAGCCAATCTCTATGTACAGAGTTTTTTAGTAAATAGGCAGAAAAAGAAATATAATAGGAGGTACTTCACAGCATAAAGAATGAGTTTTAAAAGCAAGGGAAGAGACATTTAAAAAAAAAAAACAACCACCTCAAACGATAAAGTAAGCACAAACGCTTTAAAAAAAAAAATAGCAGTTGGAAGCCATTTAGTTTGCTAACAAACTGCCCCACATACCAGAAACCCCATAGAGCTGGTGGAACTTCAAAATTGCTATAATGAATGACAGACCGCTACCTATATGTAGATGACTTTCAAGAATGGATTTCTAACAGACCGTTCTTCTGCACTCTGGACATACTTATTCAACTATGCGCTGGATGACTTCCAACTTCTCTTCCTCATTCTCTTCTGGAAGCTACAACTCGTCCTGATTTCCTGTCTCAGTGGCATGACTCCTGTGCACTAATCCACACTGTTCATATCTGCTGGATTTTATACACAGTTTCTTCTACTTGTGTTGTCTTCCTTTTGCACAGATCCCAAGCT